CCCAGACAACACCCCCAGAGCAGCTAAAGGTCCTGGCAGCATTTTCTTCCTGTAGCTGGAAATACAAACCCTTCATCAGCAGCCAGCACAGCCCATCCACGAGCCACTCATTCCTGGGACAGAGATAGGATCTCCTGCTGCCACCTGCACAACCACTTTTACGTGAGGCTGAAATTAAGTGTAGCAGCAGAACAAGCCCCGCCTCTGCTTTTGCCACCTGTTGCCTGTTTATGAAAGGCGGTGTTATCATTCGTCATAATAATAATACTTTGCACTTCCCAAACAACCATCCATCTGCAGCACTCGAGCTGCTGGCAAACCTTTAATTAGATTTTGCCTCCCACCACCCCCAGGAAGGAGACAAACATTATTACATTTTTTCATTAGCACTGAGGCTGATGATGAACCTTCAGGGAGATGTTGCAGTTAGAGCTAAGAGAAAAAGAAAAAACAAAAATACAAAATCAAATTCAATTCAGGGTTTAGCTTGAGGAGCTGGAGGGAGTCAGAGGGGTATATTCCTAAAGAACTGAAATGGAATCACATCCATTTGTGGCCGCAGTAATTTTACCATGCATGGAGTTTCAGTGACCTGCTGGGGGATTTTGAGGGATTTGCTGTCTTTTCTCCCAACCACCTGTCAGAGTTAAATCCTCATTTTTCTCATGGGGATGGTTTAAAAGAAACCTTCTTTTCTCAACTATTTAAGGCATTGAAAACTTCCTTCACTGTCTGTAACTTAACTTGCCCTTTTCATAGAGACTTTCTCTCTGGTCTTTACTCTTTACTGGCCCTTTATGGAAAAAGGCACATTGATCCTCTGTATAGATACTTTCCAGCTGGGCCTTGTTCCTCCCATCAACTCTCCAGCTGCTGCACTCCCACTTCATCTTTCCCCACTTTCTCCAAGGGCTTGACTCTTACTGCTTGGGAAGCAGCTTCTTGCCCTTTGGGGTAGGGGTCTGTAGAGGTAGGTGATTGCATGAAGGAAAACTGAGCTGAAAGAGGTCCCCTTCAGCAGGTGGTGCTGCTGCAAAAATGGTATCTTTTCATCCTGCATTATTTTCAGGGGTAGGTCTGTGAGGAAGAATTCCCATGAGGGTTGTATTCCTCCCTATGCTTGGATTTAATGATGTAACAAGTTCCTAAGCTTAAGCTTGGGTGAAACTGCATTTGTGGAATCCCCTTTGCTACTGTGAGCTTCCCAGGACCCTTTTGCAGGTGTACTAATCCCTGTTCCATTCATCCTTCTTCTCAGGCACCATTGGAACTGAGCAGTGATGGGTGTATGGCACAGCCTAGCCTCTTGTTTTCCTTCCTTCCTCCCACTTGATATGATGATAATGGGAATAAAAGGCTCCTGGCTATGGCTTGGTGGCTTTTCTGGCTGTGCTGGACCACAGCCCTTCACCCTGGGGAGGCTGCTTTGCTTCTGCACTGCTCCAGCCTTGGGTTTCTGTGGGTCGCTGGCTTTGGGCAGGGCTGATCCTACAAGCTTGTTTGGGGTGGTTTGGCAACATGAGTGAGAGAAACAGACAACTTCCTAGGAGAACTGCTGGCTTGAGAATGTGGCTGTGCCTGGGTCAGGGGCTTGGGCAGGGCTCTGAGGTGATGTTGGATGTTTCTGCACCATCACCTCAATGTTGTGGAAGGACATGAGGACACTCGGGGGGCCTGAGGTATTTATTTGCTTGAAGCACTTGCACTGCTTATCTCTGCAGCCATCAGCAGGATGGGCAGCAGCTTCGAGGTGGCCTGTGTCTGTGGTTGCTTGGTGAAGGGCAGTGTTGTATTAAAGAGGAAAAGGAGTGGAAACGGGCTGCTGTGTCCTTCCTGCCCATCTTTTGAGGGAGAGAGGGCCATGGCCCCCATTTCTTAGTTGCTGTGGGCTGGGAGGTGAAGTTCACAAAGGCTCTGCTCTGGTTTGTGAGCTCCTGGCCCAAAATCTCCTGTCCTCAGGCAACTTTTATAAGATTGGATCTCCTAAAAGGGTTGCCATGTCTCTGGCAGCCTAGTTCGCAGACTTCCAGCAGAGCTCTGTCAGACCTTGCTGCTGCCTTCTCTCTGCTTGGCTCTTTCCCCAGTCATCGCCAGCCCCATCCTAATGACTGAATACACATGGTTGCCATGTGAACAGGAATTGGCTGCTTATTTGGATTTTTGTGGCAAACTCCAGGAGAGTTGTTGGCTGTTTTTTTTAATAGCAGACAGGAGGTGGCCCAGGTTGTGAAAGGTGGTTGACTCAGGGTGCTTTGAACTGGCCCACAGGATGTTCAGCTCCAAACATCCTGTCTGAGGGGCACCTCCCCATGGTGGCTTCTCCCTTTATCTGCCTCTTCTGAGTAATAACCTTGCTGACACATCTGGAGAGGGAGAAGGACAGGCAGGAGTCACAGGTAAGCTCTTCCATCTGTACATTAGTGAGCAGCTGTGCCATGGGATGGACATGGCTGCTGGAACTTGGAAAGAAGGAGCATGGGGAGAACATCCATGAGAGACAAGGGTTCAGTGTGATGACAGCTGTGGGTGAGGCTGGTGGAAGTGGTGCTGATGGTGCCAGAAATTTCTGGCTTTAGCCATTTTTAGAGGGATCATTGTGTTTTGGAGCTGTGTGATAGCAGAGGATGGAAGTTGTTCAGCCTGAAGATCAGAAGGGTCAGGGGAGCCCTGAGAGCTCTTTCCGGTGCCTAGAGAGGCCCCAAGAGAGTTGGAGAGGGACTCCTGGAGTGTCAGGACAAGGGGAATGGCTTCTCACTGCCAGAGGACAGGGATGGATAGGATATTAGGAGGAAATCCTACCCTGTGAGGGTGTGGAGGCCCTGGCACAGGGTGCCCAGAGAAGCTGTGGTTGCTCCATCCCTGAAAGTGTCCAAGGATGGAGGAAGAATTGGAAAGAAAAGACCCTCCCAAATGTCTGTGGCCAGGTGCTGAACTTGTCCTCTGCACACAACCTGGCTGTCCTGGAATGCTGATGGGTGCTTGTAGAGAATGCTGGCATATGCAGAGGGACAGCAGCAATCCCCTCCACTAGAGCAGGTGGGGTCAAAAGCATGGATGGTGATGGATCTGGAGCTGCAATGGCCCCGGGGGAGAGCCTGGAAGTTGGGCAGGAATGCTGTCCTTCCCAAACCAAACCTGAGGAGGCTGTGAGCAGTCAGGCACAGCTCTGGAAGGACAGCAGGCAGCTCCTGGGGGCGACTGAGCAGGAGCATCACAGCCTGGAAGCTGTGAAGGGAGAGGGGCAGCTCAGGTAATAACTTCTGTCTGCAGCCATATTTCAAGTGCTCTGACAGAGCAGCTCCCAGGAGGAATAAATAATCTGATGTCTCTGCTCTTTCCTGGCTGCCACTTCCTTGGAGCTAAATGAGCTTTTATGTGCATTTGGCCTCCAAAGCTGGAGTGGGGAAATCCAGTGTGTCAGGGGTGTTGGGGTTGGGCTTGTTGGGCTGGTCGAGGGGCTTTGTGAATGTGGGGGTTGTTTTTCTGTGTTTCAAATATATGAGCTGTGCATGCAAGTGGACTGTTGCTTGGAAACGTCTGGTTTTGCTGCAGAATAGTGGCTGTTATATGAAAGGAGGTGGGATTTTTTTTTTTTTTTTGGTGAGTAAGTGAGTTACATGAAAACTTCTGCTTGTCTGATGGTGGTTTGGGACATCTCTGCTACAGGACATGGCTGGATTCTTGGAAGTGTTAAAAGTGTTCAAGGCCAGGTTGGAAGGGGTTTGGAGCAACCTGGTCCAGTGGAACAAGTCCCTGCCCATGGCAGGGAGTTGTAAAGAGATGAACTCTAAGATCCTTTCCAGCCCAAACCATTCTGGGATCTATAGTGACTCTTGAAGGGCTGTCTTCAGTTGCTGGGAAGCAAGGGAGATTTGTGACAACTCCCCAAATCCTTGCTGGCTTGGGCTGCAGAGGGGTTGCAAAGCAAGGGGGTCCTTGGTGCTGCAAGGAAGAGCGAGGCTGCTCTGCTGGGGAGAGGATGGACAGGGTAGGAGATTCCAGGGACAGCTCTGAAACAGCAGGCTGGGTCTGCTGGTAAAACAGGGCAAGGGGGACATGGCAGATGGATATGGGGTGACAGATCCCCAGGTTTACCCTGGATGCTGGTGTGGATTCGAGCAGCCTCTGGGGCTGCAGGTGCAACACATTTGTCACTTCTGGATTCTGGGATGTCTCTGCTCTCCTTCTCCATTTCATCCTGCCACATTAACGTTCCTGACATGTCTCTCAATCAGGGTGTGCTCCAACTTCAGGCTGTTGCCCTTGCAGTCACAAGTAGGACAATGGTAAATGTTGGTTATGTATCATACAGTTGTACTATGCTTAAATGTGCTTTATTGTTAGCCACTTCAGATGTAGATGTCTGTGCAGGGGAGATAAATGTCCTGGCTGGGGTGCCCAGGGTATGTATAATCAAAAAAGATGTGGATTCTCACCCTAATGTACGCACGCCAAATACAGCAGAGAGCCATCCCTGATCCCCAGCTCCTGGATGGGTCATTTCTCACCTACCTGAAAAGCTGTTTAGTAGTTTACATCCTGAAAGGAAACCTTAAGCATAGATTTGAGCCTTTCCCAGACTGTCTGTGTCCCAGAGATACAAAGGATGACAGTGGTTTCTACATTCCAATCCTTCGTTTGCCACACAGAGCTGAGCCAGTCTGACCCATGCCGGCTCTGCAACCATAACCTGACCTGGAAGATCTTGCAGAGCTCTCCCTCACCTCAGGCACTTGCCATGCCACATCCTATCCTTGTTTTGCAGTGACTAATTACTTTCTAGTGTGGGAGGACTCGGAGAACATGCTGGAGTTGTTCATTCAACCTTTGTGATTTGCTTTGGTATTTATAAACATAGTGAGGATGTGATCTGTGATGCAAGGGCAGGTCGGTGTGGAAGCTTTGGGATGAGTAATGCCTTCCTCTGTGCTCATCCAAGCTGCAGAAAAAGACCGGAAAGCCCATGAGGAGGAGAAAAATTACTCCTCCTTAAGTGGTAGAAGCTTGCAGAGAGCAAGGAGCTCTAGAGGTCTTTCTGAAGACAACAAGACCATTCCCAGGTAAAACAATGCTAGAAACACTTAGATCATTATTTATTCCTTTCTGTGTTTGCTACACTGGGATTTTTCTAAGGAATTTTGTTATGGCTGAAAGACTTTGCAGGATAAAAATTTGCTGTGCCTTTGTTCCTCCCCATCCTACTTGGTTGGTACTCTGGCATCGATCTGACTTAGTCAAGGCTTTTTTTATACTTCTTCCTATGGAGAGGAAATCTCTTGTGTCAAATCACCACTTGTGTGCCACACAAAGGTTGTGTAGAATATGCATAAGGCTCTTTTTCCAAATGTTAATGGTTTCTGGGTTGCCTCCTCCTGCACAGCCCAGAAAAGCCTTCACTAGCTGAAGCTCCTAATCCAGCACTGGACACACACCCTGGTAATTGCCTAGTTTGGAGCAAGTTTATGATCTATGGAAATAATTGTCATGTTGCTTTTTATGGGTAAAAACTTTGTTGTGCTTCCTCTTCTAATAGCTGTTATACTTTCTTGGGCACTACTGTATTGTTTTCTGGCATGAAGTTCAGATTATTTTATATGCAGCCACATAAATATGTATATACACAGTGCTGCACAGTGGCAGTTTCCCTGTGCTGATAGCCTATTTCTGTTTGTAATCCCTGTTTGCACCTGAGCCATGTACGCCTGCTCTGTCATGATGTGGATCCCTGGGGAATGCTGAGCAACCCAACAACTCCCTTGGGGATGCTTTCGGTTGGTCCTCAGACAATGTTTGTCCTTGCAGGTCCAGAGGATGAGCCCAATGCCAGCAACTTTTTTGGGCAGTGCCCTCCGAGGCACTTTCTTCTTTGCCTTTGGCCTGTGGTGGTCGGTGAGGTACCCCCTGAAGTACCTCAGGAGGAAAGGGGATGCTGAGGGCCAGCCAGGCCGTGGGCGCACAGAGGTCTTCGAAGGCGCAGTCAAAGCTTTCTTTGCTCTAGTAGGTAAGAGAGGGTGATGATGAGTCTGTGCCCCAATATCTACTAGCACAGCAGCAACTCCCCCACAACACTGGGCCTGTTTTAGTGAGAAACATCTGGTATGGGAGGGCTTAGGGACACGCTTGTGGCAGACCCTGGGATGAGGAGCTTGGTGGTGTTCTCCTGGGCAAACATCACTACAGGTCCACACCTGCAAAGGAACATTCCCTCAGGCTTGTCATTTCCCCATATATAAGGAAAAGTGACATTTTCTCTCTTTGTCCAGGGATATTGGTGGAGCAATTTGTGCCCACTGGTCCTCACCTGCATCTGTACAGCCCCAAGACACACAGCTGGACTGACCTCACCCACTGGCACTACTCCACCATCTACCTCTTCTTCCTTCTCTCTGGCATCACAGAGGTGGTCTCACACTCTCCACTCAAGCTGCCCCCTGGCTTGGACCGGCTCTCACTGTCCCTGGCTCTGCTTGTGGAAGGTGAATTGCACCTGGTGGTAGGGAAGGGCACAGAATAAGGAATTGTTGCAGTGTTCATGGGGTGTGACAGCTCCTGTGCAGTCTGGGGGCCACAAAGGCAGACCTGGAGGGTGCGTGGATGCATGATGACTTTGGCTTTGTGACAGCCACCCCCTCTCTTCTCCTCCTAAACATGGATCCAACCATAGCTGGATGCCACCGGGGAGGCTTGAGGGATCTGTGCTTCTCCTGATGGCCAACAGCTCTCTCACTCTGAAAGTACAAAAAGGTGTCATCCCCCCAGCTTGGTTGGATGCAGAGGGACAGGTCCTGATTCAAAGTTCCCCACCATCTTTTGAGCTTCTCCTGCAGCCCTGGCTGGGACACAGGAATTCCCCCAGGTAAAGGGGCTCAGAGGCCTCCCCAGGTACAGGGGTTCCTCAGGAGCAGAGCTGAGCCAGTGCTGGGGCTGCCTGGTTATTGCAGAGGGAAGGCGGTGACAGCAGCTGGTGGGTCTCTGGTTCTTCCCTCCAAGGCAGATCATGGCAAGGCCTGAAGCCTACTAGTGAGTTTTCAGATGATTTTTAAGAGAACAATCCCAGAGTGTCCTTTGCTAACACAGAGTGGATCTTGGCAGGTTTGCTCTTCTGTTTCCGTGACTACAGTGGCGCTGTGCTGGACCAGCACGTCCACTCCCTGCTGACCATTGCTATCTTTGCTGGAGCCCTCTGTGCCCTCCTAGAGGTGTTCCTCCGAGACCATATCATCCTGGAAACCTTCAGGACCAGCTCCTTCCTTCTCCAGGGCTCTTGGCTATGGCAGGTCAGTGTGTATCCAGCGTTCTCCTCAGATCTTTGTGCCCAGGAAGGCGAGTGGAGTGGGGCTGCCGCTGTAGGTACATCTGTTTGGGTTAAATTTCTAGGCTGTTAAAATATCTTTGTAAATAAGAAGAGGAAATGAGGCTCAGTGCCAGAGCTGCCATCATGAAATGCATGTTGCAGCATGGACAGAGCTGGAAATGAATGGAAAACGGAAATCGGAGCCCACAAGGAAGGGAAACTACAATAATGAATTTTTATTAATTTTATTAGATCTATTTTCTTCCTCTGTTTGTTCCAAGTAACTGGAAACATCTGGAAATCTCTCATGTAATCTCACAGCTTTTTGTCTAGGGGGAAATGCACAGACTGTCAGCGTCACCTTTTGGATGTCACCCTTTCCAAGATGCTGGGCTTGCACTGCAAGCCCTAAGGATTATCTGCAGAGAATCCATCTCCTCCTGACACCTTTGTGTCACCAGCTGGGGAAGCCAAAGGCAGTGTCCTAAGTGTTATTTGGGGTTACAGTGCCTCTAGTCCACAGTCAGCTGCAGCAGGTGGGCTAAAGTCAGGAGGAAAACAGGAGGGATGTGCTAAAGTCTGACTTCTCTTTCATCTGTGACCAGATTGGGTTTGTGTTGTCCCCTCCATGGGGAGGACCAGGCTGGGATCAGAGCGACTCCAGCAACCTCTTGTTCCTCACCATGTGTTTCTGCTGGCACTACATGGGCGCTTTGGCTGTTGTGGCCGCCAACGCTGCTGCATCCCGCTGGTATGACGGGGTCCTGGCACAGTGCATGGGCTGGGGTGGCCAAGAGCAATACCCAGACCCAACAGTGGGCTGGGAAATGCATGCACCAGTGTGTCATGGGATAAGGAGTGTGGGGATCCATGTGTATCCAAGCATGGCTTGGCTGGAAGGGGTGGATTCCATGCCACCACAGAGCAGCCTTCCCAAGCAGGGTGGGATGAGCCAGTGCCTTTCACTACCCACAAGTCCCTGACCATTGTCACTGTCTCTCCTGCAGCTGCAATGAGTCCTGCCAGCTAAAATTTGGAGACATCGACGTGGAGTTGGACTGTGGCTTGTGCCTCCACAGAGGGAAGAAGAGCTCCAGTGGCGCCTTGCTGCCAGAGAGCAGCTCAGATGACAAATGAGGCTGTGGTGGGCATGGAAATCTCTTCCCTGATGGTTTAGAGCTCTTGAGATGAGGTTTTTAATTAGTCTTGATAAACTACAGTGGCACTTGACAGTGGAGCATTAGAAGTAGAAGGCAGGACCCTGAGGCAGAGCGTGACAGAACATGCCAAGTCTTTCCTTGTGCATCCCTTTGGTAGCCACAAGTTCTTAATTCTCTGAGCTGCAGCTCAGGCTGCAGACTGCAGGACTAGTTTTCTGTTGGAGTCCAACTGGAGTGACAAATCTGATTGTTTTTCTAACGTTTTCCTTTCTGCTTCCTCAGAAGGGAGCCAAGCCAGCATTCAAAGCTCCTGGTGGCTGTCATCCTGGTCTTCATTGAGAGGGTTTTGTACAAAGCTGAATGTACAGACTATCTGTGATCACCAATAAAGTGCTTTAACACATCTCCTCCATGGATCTCTTGAACACCATGCTGCAGGCTAAGGCAATGTTGGCTTCAAAATGGTTTGGGCAGTGGATGAAATATCTGAGGGGTGGGACTGTGTATGATTTAATGTGGATAAATCTGCCCAGGAAAGGATGGGTGGCCAGTGGATGGAAAGGATGGAGGGTAGCTGCTCTCTTGCTTGTTTATCATCAGAAGCTGAGTTAGGCATATGAGCCAAGAGTTTGTGTTCCTGAGAGATGGGATGTTTGCTGGGCAGGGGGCTTGGCTGAGAAACCTTTGAAGCAAAATGATGGTTTCAGCTGGCTGGGGGTGGGGAGTATGGATGTTCTTGAGAATCTCTGAAACCCTGCAGTGATTTCAATTTTTCTCCAACACCTTTATTCCCTCCTTGGAGCTGGTCACTTCCAAACAAAACCTTCCAGTTAGGGGTGTCTGTCTTGCTGTTGGAGTCTCCTTTTGTTTGCAGCAGAACAATGTGAGCAGATCCTTCCTGTGGGGAGATGGAGAACAAAATCGAATTTAAAAGATAGCATTAGGAGGATTAGTGAAAGAACATCACTAATCATCATCCAAAAGGTCATCATCAGCATCTAAAATGTTTGTGCCATGCCCTTGGCTGAGGGCTGGGCTGGGTGAACAAGGGAGCACCAGCAGCACTGATTTTATTGTCTTCCAACACGTTTACTATATTTCCCTAAGAAATGCAAGAGCCAGTTTAGTCTGAACAAATCCCTGATGTGCTGCGCAGGCTGGGAGGAAAGAAAAATTCCTCCTACCTCAGACCAATTGCAATTCCCAGCCTAATGGGAGCTCTCTGGAAGAGTGAGTACTGCCTATTTAATTTTTTTTATTTTGAATTTTATTTTTATTTTTTGTTTTTTGGGTTTTTTTTATTTTTTTGGTTTTTTGGGGGTTTTTTGGTAGTGTTTTGAGTTTTTTTGTATGTTTGTTTTTTTAATTTTATTTTATTCTTGTATTTTCTCCTTTTGGAGCAGGGCTGGAAGAAGACCAATGCTTTGTGTCCAGAAAAAAGCCTCGAGGAGCAGAGAAAACCAAGTAAGTGCAGTATTTTGGGCTCCCACATTTGGCAAGCACACACAGAGGATGAAGCAGGCTGCCCTCCTGAGCAATGGTTTTGCCAGGACCTGGCTGCCTTTAAGTCGGGCTGATGTGGCTCTCCAGTACTGGAGTGAGCGCTTGCATTGTGCTCCATGGAGGTGATGTACTCCCATTGTTAATAATCCTCCTGGGACTAGAAGTGAGGTAATTTTGTCAAGTTGTTATAGACTGGCTGCCACAAATGGGAAGCTCAGTGCAGTGGTTACACCCTGGTATATACTGAGCTTGGATTGAAAAGAAGGGGATAAACAATCTCTTTCCCCTTTGATCAACTGATGTTACTTTTTTTCTGTATTTTTCCCTGCCCAAATGTTATCTTTGCAGTGCTGAATCTCTTACTGAGGGTTTTGCTGCATAAAATGTTGGGTTTTTTTGGTGATGTTCCTTCTTTCTTTGAATACCTGTAAGTAAGAGCAAATAGTAACCATCATGCTGTGTGTTTGACAGGTTCAGTGGGATCATGCTCCAAGCCCAAGAAGGTTTCTTTGAGCAGGCACCCAAAATTACCTGTTGCCATGTTAGGAGATAGAGTTGCCCCATATTTGATACATGACTAATGTTCTTCATGTCAATAAAGTAGAAAGAAGACCTGAGGTTGTTGAGGCTGTGGCTGTGTTTGTTACAGTTCCCAGCTAGCCTGGGTATGGGACTGATATTTCTTGTAACATCTTCTCTCCCAGTGAAGCCTGAAGTGAGTAAAACTAATAATTGAGTAGAGAGTCAACCCATGGCAGGGGTTAGAATGAGAGTTCTTTAAAATCCCTTTCAACCCAAACCATTCTGGGATTCCATGACTAGACAAGATGCAAGTGATCAGTAAAGACCCCACTGTCCACCCAAAAGTGTTGATGGTCATGTGCTGTGGACATAGGTGACCCTGAAATAGGTGGGAGGTAGACACATGTTTCATTGCAGTCCCTGCCTCTCCGAGGCAGGTTAGGATATGTGACTGCAGGAGTTCAATTACAGGTGACCTCGTTATTTATCATACACAGACCTGACAGATGCTGCTCCTGTTATTTTGTCACAAAACATTCAATTCCTTGTGTAGCTCCTGGTCTGTCTGCACTGTTAGTCCCCAGAGAGATGCAGAGATGTGGATGATTTTCTTTGTCCATGGCCTGTGATCTGTGATTCCCTGAAAAATACCTTGGCCAGAAAGCGATGCTGTGTCTCTTTGTTGTTTCACACATTGTTAAGCTTTAAATGATGCTGCTCAAGTCAGGATTTAAGGTAATTCTTACCTGTATTTTACCTTCACACAGAAACACTAAGACTGGTGGTTTTGATGACAAATATTCCCTGCTGCACAGTTAAATTTGAAGAATTGATTGAGGTATCCAGAACAGACGTGCTGAAGTGTTGGAAGGAACCTTTGCACTTCCAGATTGAATTCACAAGTTTTCTCACAGCAAGGGTTAGAAGAATGTAATGGTAAGTTTCCCATTTCCACAAATCCTCTGCTGCTGGTATATATCAGGAACAGGCTTTTACACTGGAGGAACTGGACACAGAAGCCTTTGGAGGATGGCTGGGTGTAATTTGGGTATCCTCTTGCCTCAGCCAGAGGGAAGAGACACTTCTTGAGATCATATGGAAAAGTGCTGCTGGACAAGCTGAGGTGCTTTACAAACCCCCAGTACTAAGATCTGTATGCAAAACCTTTTATTGTCGTTGCTGAGAGATTTGCTGGAGATTCATGGTTTTAAAAAGAGTTGAAATTAGTACTTTAAGCACCACTAAAATCTATTGTTTCAGCTTAATTATTAAACTTAGCTTCCAAACTTAATACAACTGCTGTTCAGAGGACAATCAGATTTTCTAGGTCACTCATCTCTTCCAGAACTTAAAATTTTCCATTACTTTTTAAATTATTATTTTTTTTTTAAATCTTGATGTGTTTCTTGCCTATTAACTCAAGCAATTTAAGAAACAACAGTCAGCAGTACATGGTTATTTTTCTCTGAGGATACACAGCCTGGATCTCATCCAAGGTTGTGGTGAGGCTGCACCTTAAATAGTGTACTCAGGTTTGGGTCCCTCCCTACAAGGAAGACATTGTGGTGCTGGAGACTGTCCAGAGAAGGGAACAGAACTGAAGAAGTGCTGCCAAGTAGGGGGAAGTTTTCCAGCTCTGGCTGGAGTAGTTTTCATGGGAGGCTGGAGGTTCTTGAATGTGCCTGGGTGGTGATCATGAAGTGTTAGGTGGAGAAGAGGCTGGTCCTGCTTCAAGGATGGTCTGGGTTCCAGCAAGAGTTACACAGTGTAACAGGGGGGATAAACTCAATGTAATTGTAAATGTGTTTCCACTGTACTTCGTGAAACTTCAGACCAGCAAACAGTTTGATAAATGTGTGTGTATAATGAGATGCTCAAATATAATGAATCTTAAGAGTTTGAGTGGCCTTATTGAAAAATATACAGTTTCCTCTGGGTGTAACATCTGTGAAGTCTCATAGTGCTCACATCCCTCACCTCTGTCCTGACATGTTTATGAATTCCTGGGAGGTGTTTTTTTTCCCAGCACTGCTTTGAAAACAGATACCAGTGACTGTGTTTTGTGGTGGGAAATAAAATTTAAAAATCCAGGTGTGCCAATGTGTTTCACAAAAAAAAAAAAAAATGCCCTGTTTATTAACTTTAATAATATTTATTTTCCCTGCAGGCTATGGGGAGTTTTATACATTGTGTGAGTACTGAGGCTGGTGGTAGGATGCCTCATTGTGCCCCATTTCTGCTGGTTCTGTGAGGTGTTTTGAATTCACTAGGAGCATCCTTTCCAGCACAGTGGAATCTGGTGAGGAGGTTATTATACATCCTACCGATTTCCAGAAAGCAATGTGGAAACACCTTTGGTGCAACTATTTAAATCTGGTGAACCTTTTGTCCTCAGGACACCTCAGAAAACCTGAGCTCTTCTTTGGAGTCTCCAACTTCAACAGCAGCCAGGCTCCTCGCCTCAGTTTAAAGTTGTATGTAAAGATAAAGAAAGGTTTTTCTAATGCTGAGTATCATTATCCAATACTTTCCTCTGGTTTGATTGTGTGTGCTGGGTAGAGATACCCACATATGCTGATATTGTGGTGGGGGCATGAGTTACCTGGATTAAAAAATGAGTTACCATGGATTTGAGCCATAAGCTGCCAGCAGTACTTGGAAACCTAGCTGAAGCCATCAATAGTACAGCAAAACCTGGAAAAACTGCTCTCCAGAGCTGATACTGGGATTCTGAAAGAACAGCAGTTGCCTCTTGTTCACCTTCCTATACTGGTTAGTTCAACTGGCCCTTGTTTCTCAGGGTTATGCTGCTGGAAAATAAAGAATGTAGTTCTCTCACTGATGTGTGAGTGTAGTAGAGAGGTGTTACTTGAATCTATAAAATAACATAATTTTTACTTGATTTGCAGAATATTTGTGATTCATCTGTTCTGCTGACCTGATGTGTTTCCCTACAATGTGTTACCAGTGCTCCATCAGTTGCTCCATCACCTGCTGAGTGTTGCCATGCCATGAAAGGGTGGAAAAAATGTCCTTTCTTGCTGGGGTTTAGGTGGTTCCTTTTTTCCCCTGTGGGCTGCTGGCATCTGATGAACATGGTGCAGCTCTTGTTTCCTCCTTTGTTTCTTCCTCACTGGGAGACTATTGTCACAATGGACAAAACCTACCTAATTCTGCGATTTATCAGAATAAAAATTCTACCTGGCCAAGCTGTCGTACAGCTCCTGTGAGGGCTGGATCTTAACTATACCTTGGGCCCCAGCAGTGTCACAGAAAGGAGAAATTTTTTTATTCATAAACTATATCAGTTTCACATTTATTTGTACTGAAATTCAAAGTATTTGTTTTAGATTGTGTAATGTTCTACAAAGGGCCAGGAGTTTGTTTGGCTTTAAAAAGAGTTTTAGTTGGGTTTAAAAGAGGAGGTTTGGGTGTTAAAAGAGGGGGTTTGGGGTTTAAAAGAGAGAGTTTTGTAGGTTTTGTTATAAATGAGAATTTACTCAGCCAGATTAAAAATAAAAATCATTTTATTTGCAGTCAAATTCTATCTAGCCAGCCACACGGAAAGGACAGAGCCGAGCCCAGGGTCGGCCCTGGGTGTGCAACAAGGAGTCAGCCTCAGCAGAGGTTTTCTCCTATGCCCACACACCTCCATCCTGGCCCAAATGGTTTTTATAGGGAAAATTCCGCCTGAGGCCAAGATTTCAGCAGTTAGTCTTTTCTTCTATTCAGAGTCTATAGGTTAATAAGATTTTCTTTTTTTGGTGATGAGGAGAAATAATTCAATGTCTGGAGTAGTTGAATTCTTGATGAAAGTTTACGGGAAGGCTGTATTCACATGGATCTGTCTGAGGATTTCCATGATATCCATCTTGGACGATCAGCACCGATGATCGTGATGATCAACACCTGGAGCCCAGACATGGCCCATCTCCTGGCCAAGCCACATCCTTTTACTTGTAAATCAGTTTCCAATATACATCCAGTCTCGCCTGCAAGGGGGGGTGGGGGGGAACTAATACGACGGGCATGATTTAACAAGTATCCAATATTACATATTTCATACAAGGAATGGTGCAAATTATATTTATTACACATAACAGTTTGAATAGTTTTTGTATTGTGTTGTGGTTCTCCTTTAACCTAATGTTGTATCAAACATTTTTGTTACGGAAGCCTTTGGAAGGTGGGAGCAGAAAAGAGGAGTTGGCCAAAATCCTTGTCTTTCCTAGGGATCCAATAAAGAATGGAAGATGCACAGCTGCTGGTTTTAATTACAGACTGAAGGAAACCTAAGTTACTGTGTACATATCTATGTACAGTTTAAGTTTCCTGATGTTCTGTAGCAAATTCCAAGTAAAATTTGGATTTAAATGGCAAAATAACTGGAGATGCATTCCCAGCTTAACTCTTGGACTCAAAGCTGTAGAGTTTAATTAACCAATTGACTGATTATCATGTGAGGACATGGATTCCTTGGCTGAGCTTCTGTAGAAGGCAGTTTTGCCGCTGCGGCCTAGCGGCAGGAGAAGGGAGCGGCGCTGGCTGACAGTGTCAGGGCTGCAAGCAAAGGCAAGCCAAAAGGCCTCAAGTGGCAAAAACGGCGGCCCTAATGATAGTAAAAGGTTTTTAAATCATGGGGATTTAGGGTTAAAAGGAAAATTAAGCTTAGTAGGCCCTGAAAAGAAAAGTAAATACCCTAGGTATATGAAGACCTTGTACCTTGCTATAACTGCACCTGTGTAGCTAGTATGTGATAAATTATATAATTGTTAGATGTGATGATTGTTTAGTAATTAAATATAATTACTGTTTAATCGTAAGAATAATCATAAGAAACTGTGGTCAGGGGCCTAAGAAAGATCACAAGAAACTCATGTCAATGTATACAATAGAACAATATAAGTTTAATAATTAATATGTAAGCTATATAATGATAGAATATAAAATATGTTCAGCTCGAAAGCCATGTCAGAGTCAGATTTGGTCTGTACCCCTGATTCTCAGAGCTCTCAATAAAAGCACCTGCAGGTAGTCATATCCCGTCATTTTGTGTGTTCCTAAACACTAACAGTAACAACAAATCAGGACAAGTATGGGGTGGATATGTGTAAACATAAAACCAACAGGGAAGGGGAGAGTGCACACATAATGTACCAACAAGTGAAGGAAGATATCATAACTGACACAGAAACTTCCAGATAAGCGGGTGCAGCAAATAATGACAGACAAACTGCAGGGGCAGGATTTAGAAGACAGACAGGGAAGGGTGTGGAACTAAGGGAGGTATACCCTAGGACTGGGGAAAGGCGGGAAAGCAGGTGGAAAAACAGCTTTGGGGAGAGACTTTTTAGGAAAACTGAACAGGGGTGAATAGGGACAAACCATTACAATTATATTAAGCAATTTCTTAAACATAAAGTTCAAAATCCCACTACTACACAGTTTTTTATTTTAGACCAGCTTTAACACCAGAGCTGGAGCTTCTCAAACAGCACTGGATGTGTAAACATGACTGTAAAGCTGTTTTGTGGGCAAAGAAATTCCTGTTCTTCTTTGGGTAGAAAATGCTTGTTCTGTGTTTTGTGTTTAATTGGAAGATGAGAAGCTTCACAATTAAAGGTGATTTAGACCAAGTACATGGGACTTTGTTCAAGAAAAATGCAACACCCTTAAAATATTTTTTTAAAATAAAAGTAAAAATAAAGCAACTTTTGCTTTACTTTTGATTTTTGTTTTCAGCTTTGCTTACATTTGTTTTCACTTTTTGTTATTTACTTTAATTTTCACCTCTTTATTTTTGCTTTTATTTTCAGTTATTTTTATATTCACTTCTACTTTTTATTT